TTAATTTCAAAGTAAACAATATTTATATTAACGTATAACGTGAACTCAGATAATAAACTAAATTTGAATGAAATTTAATATATTTATTTAAATTAAATTGTTTAACTCCTTTTTTTAGTTTAAATTAACGATCTACGATTAAAAATGATTAAAAATAATTCAAATTAAATATAATTTGACATTATGAATTTAATAATGTGTCAAAAAGTTTCTCGAAACTCTAACAAATATCCTTTCAATACAGAAACTTTTAAAAAAAGGCAAAGATATGAATAAATCATGAAAGTTGACTTTTCTTCTGATGTCCAAGTAAACTCCATTTCAAATTTTAATGCAAACTATGAGCGTATAATTTATTGAAAAATGTAATCTCTCTAGTGGAAGATCAGTTAGCTATTTATGTAAACATTTCGTGATTGTATTTATAAAGAGTTACGAACACCTCAATACTTTCTATCGTTATGGTCGTTGGCCTTTACCGTTGCAATTGTATGCCTCGTTTAACAACGATTTCCTGCGTGACTTAAGACGAATTGCAATTTACCGAAGTTTAATTTTATTCTTGCGAGCATATTTCAATAAGTGGCAAATATCGCAGATAATTTGTTCTTATAACATTTATGAAAAAACGAATTGCTTTATTGAACGTGATCATTAAATATTATTGAACAGGAAATATTATCAGGAAACTTGTTCCGACATAGGAAACAATATTCGCTGCGAAATAAAATTATTTAAAATTACTGAAGAAAGAATAAAAGAAAAATTAATAATCTTATAAAATGAAAGTACTGTAATATAAAATATATATATGATAATTATAAATCTAATTAATCTAAATAATTACATGAATATCAACTAATTATATGTATCATAAAAGTGCATTTCAATATGGAAAGAACAATTTTGCTAATATCTAAAAATTTAAATAGATGCAGTTCTGAACATAATTTTATCAAAATAGTTACGTGAGAATTCAAGCATAATGTACAATGCTGCAAAAAAATTTTGACATTCTGTAAACCACTTTGAGCGTCTCGTACATAATTATTTTAACAATCCAATAAAATGAATTTTTCATTCTTTCCATGAAGTAAAATATTTTTTCAATTATGTTTCGCATAACTTTGAGTAAAATATTGATTTAGAAATCCACTAGTATTTAGTTGAAATTTATTAAATATTTATTTATTATAAAATTTGAAGGAATTCCTTTTTAAGGAATTTTTTACTCTTTCAGGAGCTGCGGGGACAGTTGAACGACGCGGAAGTGTCGCAAAGTTCCGCGGAAAATCTTGAGCGATCGAGTGAGCCTCCTGCAGGCAAATGGAGAAGCAACGGCGAGGCTCTCGAGCCAAAGTGGCGTGACGGCGATTCTGTGCCTCTGCTACCGTTTTCTCATTACCGGTCTTACACGAGGGACGAGGTCGAGGATGTTGAACAGGAGGCTTTACTGGCGACGAGTCGCCGACCGTTCAAGTATCATTACGCGATCGATCAACCGGATCGTCCTCGAGGGGGCAGACGATTACCACCTCCGGACGACTATAACCATGACGCCTCGTATCGAAGTCGGGACGAGAATCCCGATGAAAATTATCCGCGCAAGAGACGTCGTCCGTTGAAGAATTTACAGAATCCAACGTTCTACGAGGAAACGATCGATAGTGCAGCAAGCAATGACGGAAAACGTGGTCGTAACATCGTTGATAGTTCATTGAATGACCGAGAAGTTACCTGGAGGTATCGCGAAGCTTTTCAGTCTCATCCCAATGAATACGAACATGAATTCAGCGACGAGGAGTACCTAAGACCTCGCCCAAGAAAGAGACGACCACCGCAGAATTATGAGTTCGCCCTGGCGAACGAGGCCTCCTCCAACCACGGGAATGAGGAATCGAAAAATTCCCCTCAATATTTACCTAAGGGCGATGAGATACTTTCGATGGAATCGTCAAACAAAGAGCGAGAGAACGCGCTCGAGCTGAAATCACTTCTGAAGATGCAACAGGAGGAGGGCTCGAGTCTGTCGGAGATACTTCAGCGCAGAAATCTGACCCTGAACGATCTCCTAAAGGGAAAAACCGACGTGATCAACGCTCTGAAGTCGAGGATCGCCGATGAATCCGACGAATATATCGAGGAAATGTCGAGGGTGATGTCCGATTCGCTGATGAAGCTCGCCGCAACGGTGACACCACCTTGGGTGTCTACGCAACCGTCCATGTTTGAAAATATCACGATAAAAATTACAACAACCTCAGATACAATTTCGGATAGCTCCCAGATGACAAACGTCACAGATGAAGTCTCGAAGAGACTCGAGATTTTCACAAACAACACAAATAGTGTTAAAGAATCGGAAGATGACGCCGAGATGACGCGATCCGCGCACGATGGCTCCTGGTTGAGAGCTCCGACGACTCCTCTGACGCTCTCGACGGTGATTACCACGTCGACGTTGCCGCCAATCACAATAAACTCAGCGGAGTATTTTCTAAACGACGAAGTCAACGCGGAATCGACGAGCGACCACGCGACGAGGCTTGAGAGCCTTGACGAGGACGAGATCATGGAATTCTCGGACTTCACGGATTTCAAGAAGGGGAAAAGTTCGGGTCCGTCGAGTGAGAGGATCATCTCGCAGCAAGCGCCTCGCGATACCGAGTCCACTTTGAGCATCGAACAGATTCTCAATCCCACAGAGCGGACCAAGCGGGTGGAAGGTCGTGAGAACGATCAGAATGACGACATCAACAATAATAATGAGAGAAAAATGATTCGTGATAACGATCAATCAGTTCCTATCGGCGTGCCCACTGCAGAGGATTACAAAACATTTATCGAAGCCGAGTATCAGAGTGATGCTTCGAATCCTGAAGACAACGGGAAACAAAGTAAAGATCATTCAAGTAAAATTGATGCTGTTGTGAGTCAGGTCGAGAAGAAACAAACAGCGAATCAGGCTGATGATAAAAAGGAACTTCGTGACAAGAATCACTCAGCTGATTATCATCAGGTGACTCGATTGCCGGGAGAGAGAGCTCGCGATCGCACATTGGCAAACCATCGAGATACCAAACGTTACGAGGAAGTCGTCTCTGAGATCGAACCAGAGGCACGAGCGGAGATCTTCGAACTGTTTGCGTCCGGCTCGGCCGGCAAGCGACTGGAACGTCTTCTCAAATCGAGGAATATGAGTGTGGAGGAGCTGATAGCTTTACGTCAAAGGGGCTCTAGCAAGGTCCACTTGACGGAAGTATCGAGACTGAGGATGTCCAAGCCTAAAAATCATCAAACTCTGGAAACCTCCAACACAAACAACGGAGAAATTATCATATCACTCTCGTCTACAAGCAACTCTAACGAACATTTCGATGAAGATGATATCACAGAAAGAGAAGACACGAAACAAGAGATGGAAGAGACGATGAATCGATTCAAAGACATCATGAGCTACTTACACGATCCGTTCTTCAACAAAGACGTGGAGAACATGTCGATGTCAAGGTTGTTAGATCTCGTCGAGCGCGACAGAAACGCGTCAAGGGAAATGATGTATCCAGGAAATGATACGCTAAATGCTGATGACCTGGAGAATTCCCGCCGAACGATGCAGATTGTCGATTTATTAACAACGTTCGATTCTCTGCCTTTCGCAAAGGATGTACAGCAGCAGTTCGAGACTGAAATCGATAACAATAAACACGAACCAAAAGTGAAGCTTGCGGTAGACAACAATAATGCGAGTGTAGTGGTGATTGATGAGACAGAGAAAACTCTTCGATCGAATGACTCCAGTGAATTCCATGCTGGATATGTCGAAGAGATTGTGAGAGAAGAACCGAACACTATTGATATAAAAACAGCTGATGAAACGTTGAGCAGTATGAACGACGGAGAAGAAAAGAAGACCCTGTCGAAGATGAAGCCAAGCATAATAGCAAGCGGTGCGATACTGGGCGTGACGATCGTCGTGTTCATGGCGATTTTCATCGTCTGCCGGATTCGGCAAAAACAGAAGTACACGTACAGAAACACGTTCTCTCGTGCAGTTTTCCAGGGCCCGGTTATGGCAGCGAGAAAGCTGTCGAATTCCAGCAGTTTGAGCGCCGTAATGGTGAATGTCGTTGCTACGTCGACAACCAAAAGGCCCGAAAGAACGGAGACGCAAGAATCTGCGGAGGACTTTGACAGCAAGAGCGATATGGATAATGATTCGTTAGACGCAAACGATAGTTGGGAGACGATACCCGATTATGCTAAGTAACTCGTCGCCGACCTAATTGCACGATTAGCATATTAGTTTGGCGTAAAAGATTCATATATATAATATATCTCAATTTTTTTATTAAATAAAACAGTGTTATAATTTTTAATCGTGCTATTTTCACAATAATATTCCCTTTGAAGGAAATTATTAGAAGAATTTTAATATTGTTCTTTCATCAAAAAATATTTAAATTTTATTTTCGAAACATCCGTTATTTAAAACAAAAGATTATAATAGAAATGTGTAAACTTTTTGCGCCAATCTAATAGAAAATTGCCAGTATTTTTGCATACTTATCAAGGAATTATACTCCGAAGGCTGAATCCTTAGCAAGAGCTACATCGATTGTTAAGTCATCGCGTTATTTTATCGAAAAGTCATCGAAAAGTACCGAATCAATTCCCTAAATGTATATATATATGCTTTTTTAAATTACGATCAATACAAAAAAATTAAAATATAAAATAATTGCAATTAAAATATGCAATAAAATTATTTTTTAAATAGAATTTTTTAAATGCAATAAATAATTGTTATTATCATAAAATTGCTAAACTATTTTGCTAAACTTCCACGTATAGAACTAAGATGTATTTATTTATAGGTTTATATATAAATATGTAAAAGTTAATTTTATATATAAAATTATAAATTACATTCGATTAATTTATGATTACCCATCCTTATTTAAAATTATAACTTATTATACTTTATTCTAATTACTCACCAATATCTTTCGTAAGTAAAAATGTTTCTAAGTATTGCTGAGACGGCGTTGTTGGTATTTTGAAATACTTTGTTAAAGTAGGAATATTGCCTTGCGATGTTTCGACATTGTTTCAATGCAGCCTCTAAGTAAACAAAATAAAGAATAAATCTAATGGAAATTAAAAGCTATAAAAATTGCAATACAAACTATACTACACAAAAATTAAAATATAAATTTAGTTACTATTAATATGAGATTACAATTATCTTTTGTATTATCAAGCACGATGGATATATATAAAAATTCATCTTTTGGATAAAACAGTGTGACATAAGATTTGTAAAAATAATTATGTACCTAATGTAGGACTGCCTTTCAGCTCAATCATGTCATTAGTCTTCATGTATAAAACTGTATTATAACTGCTTGGAAGCATATCTAAGTAAGGCTTCCACTTAGAATTCTCCTTGTATCTCTCTATGAGAAGCGCTATGGCCAAAGCCACTTGTGGCATATGCTGCACCAGTGGATCATTTTGTAGAATAGTCAATTCTGATGCTGCAGTATACGTGCTGAAGATGAGCGCCCTAGGTATTTCTAGGATCAATTGGTTCTCAGCAAAGTCAGTCTCCGCCTTCAGTCCTAGATCATATCCTGGAAACTCGGCGATACTCAAGCCATCCACCTGCGCCCCATTCTCTGTCAGCCAATTTATGAATTGTACAATCCCCTGGGATCGCTGAGATGATTCCGTCTTCATCTCCTCCAGACGTTTAACCTTCAGCAGAACTTCTGATATATCCAAGTAGTTGTTCCATGATTGCGTTACGTACGCTGGGTTACTACTCACTGTAAACACATCAAAATAGCATGTAAAAACAAATAACTCAACAATATGGTATAGCAGCAGAATAGATTCCCATAGTGCAAGCAGAGTATGTCAAAATATATGTATATATATATATATATAAATAATCCTTGACACATATTCATTCTCTTCCCTAATTTTAGGCTCTATGAGTGCTTTCCAACAGACACAAATGACACAGCATGACATGTTAAACAAAGATGAAGTGATCACTGTATTACTAGTTCTTGCTGGAAAACATCACTTATTTATTCATTTATTACCAAGTCATAGTTAGATATAAAATCTTTTTCATGAAAAACAGAGCTTTTTGTCCAACGTGTTGAAGGATGTCGAGAAAGAACTCGACGTACGGGAGTACTCACGATGAAAGAGTTTCTCGCACAGGACATTAAGCTCATTCCTTTTCGCCGCAGATATATGCTTCTGTTGCGGTGATGGACCCTGTTGTTTACCCCTGGATGATGCATGAGCCTTCTTCCTGCCCATTTTTGTCTACTATCTCACAGCGCTCTCGTAGCTCCTCTTCGCATTCAGATGCATTATAAGTGCGTAACGCGCGGCGCCTACGACCAGCGAGAATAAACAGTTTTCGCCGCAACGAAAATAGCACGTACGGGGTACGGGCAGCCTGCGTGCGACGCGAGTGTTGGTGTCGTAATATATGCGCGACATAACCTCCAAACAGCACGATCCCCGCGTGCCGCGGTTCACCGCTGACCGCGCCGCACACTTTATTGATTTTCCAATTTCTGCCAAGGGTCACCTACTTTCGCGGTTACTTACTTCCCGGCTGGATCACTCATCATCCTCGATCATCTGCGTTTCGACTGAGTTATACAACCAAGATATACTTTGGAATATATGTGCCAAATACAACAATAAACTTGATAAAAATATTTATTGATCACGCAATTTTTTATTGTTTTCCATGCTTTATGATTGTAATATGTTCAAACAAAATTAGGTTATTAATATGAATGTATTATTTTTGTTCATAATTAATATTATCTGTTTGTTCAAACAGAATTAAGTTATCAATATGAATAGTATCTAAATAAAAACGGAACTGTAAATTTTCTAAAGAAATCGCATTACCGAATTGAATTTCTTTTTATATGTGTATGTATTAAATGTGTTTTATATTATGTTGTGTTTCTGAATCCCATACAGCATAGAAAGATTGCAAAAAACATTGCAGAATGATTTCACTGAACATTGCAATATTGCATGATTGCGAAATGTTGCCGAATCATTGCTGCAAGATTCCAACAATGTTAAGATGTCCGCTTTTTGTTATATGGCAATGAAACTTTCCAGCAATATTGCAATATAATGTATTTGGATAAATTTTTTACAAAACTCTAAAATGAAAACTATTTTCTGTATATATATTTCACTAATTTTAATTTTTCTATAAATCGCATTTCTATTGATATGTGCTTCCCAAAAGCAATTTTTTTTATGATAAAATCACAAAATATTCCAATAAATGTAGTATTAATTCTGAAGGATACATTTATTCGTAAGGATAAAGCACATACATGTATGTGTGTGCCCCACAAACTACAAATATTATCCACATTAACATAATAATACCTATACAACACAGAAGATTGAAGCAATATTGCTGCAATGTTGTAGATTGCAATGTAACATTGCAGAGATATTATAGAAATGTAAATTAACAATATGCCTGCAAAATGTCAGTAATATGTTTGTAATATTGCAAAACTGTAATTTTTTAATTGTTACAATAATAATAATATAAAAATATAATTTTTTATAATATTTATATAGTACAGTTTTTTAGTTTAACAGTAGTTTTTATGATATAATAATTAATATAATTTATTTTTATATTCTATTAATTATGCGATATATATATATAATTATATACTATATATATATATATATATAATCTTAACATATACCCTAACAGCACAAACGTCGATATGTCAACTGTAAGTTGACTTTGCTAAGTCAGGCTTTTAGAGTCGACTGTAAGTCGATTTTGTACAGACGTTCTTTCAATGTCGACTTTAGGACGTCTAATGCGATTTACGCTCACAAAGCTTAAATGTGGAATCATTTCGTCCTTGTTGTTTAAATATAGTTAAACAAGGGTGAATGCTGTTCAAGGCATGAATCGGACCACAGTCTAGAATGGTTAACTTAAAGTCAGCTTACAGTCGTCTTTAAACATTAAACATGGGACATTGTATAACTCAGAGACGTTCCAAGTCGTCTTAAGTCGACTTACGGACATCCATTTTCTAGACGTCCAGCAGGTATAGTCGACTCAGAGTCGACTTTGTATTGTTAGGACAACTGAGATTTATTAGACTGCGTTTCTATTTCAGTATCCAGTAGCCATTTTGCTGGATACTGTACTGAAGAAGCATTCCCAAATGATACTGGCTAGTGATGTACACTGCAGCCTCCTACGCGTTTGGTTCATAACCTAAAATTATTCTAATAAACGAGGTACGATGTCACTAGGCAGTATCCAGTCATTTGGGAACGCTTCTCCAGTAAAATATAATACTATGCATGCATTTTAGGTGCAACAATTACAATAATGTCTATATTTGCACCGATTAATTAATACACATAAAACAACATGGGCCAACAAAAATGAATTTTGACATAGATAGTATATAATCTCGAAGATTTTTGGCATGTGAGATCAAATCTGTGGCCCAAATTGCTCCATTACGTCAGGTTTTCGAGATATTTATTATATAATATAATTTGTAAATGTTGAATGTTTATGAAAATTTAAGAAAAATTTATTTAAAAGAAAAATAAATTTTTTTTAATTTTCATAAACATTCAACATTTACAATTATATAAATATAAAGAAATAACTATCTTTTTATATGTATAATTTATTAATTTTGAATATCCGTTTAACATAAATTTTCCGCTGCAAAGTAAAAGGTTGAGCATTTCTAACATGCTGCTTTTTTTTATCATAATCAGGGTTTGACGAAGTAGGTTATTGACAATCATACAATTTCGTTTAATTTTGTATAAAAATTCAGATCTAATGTTATTAAACGTTACATGTGCCAAAATATCAAAAAGAAGTCATAAAGACAACTAAAAGATGTTTACAGAAGTCATCTTTTAATAATTTTTCAGATGACTTTGTGTTCTTTGGATATATGTACAAATTTCTTTTAGACATCATAAGTACGAACTCTATATATTAATATATTTTGGATATAAATACATAAAGACATGCAGTTCGAGAAATCTTTTAGGTATCATTTTTGTGATATCTTTCTATTCTCAAAAAACGACGCATTAGATGATATCTTCGGATATCTTTATGTAATCTTTTAGAAATTTCTCTAAGTTATCAGATTCAGAAATAAGATATCTTTTAGATAACATATTGTTATGTGGATATGAATATTTAACGAATATACATTCAACAAAATACAAACTGAAAAAAAACTTCAATAAGCAATCATTACCCCTTAACTAAAAAGTATCCGCGGTTTTTGATGACCCAATAATTTAAAAAAAAAAAAGAATTTTATTTATTTTTGCCCTCAGCGGAGCTGTAAGGGCGCTAGAGGGCGTGTTCCTTGGGTAGCGGATGAGGGAAGCTCGGCGGACTCTTGAGTCCGCAGGGTTGGAAGGAAATAAGATATTCTCCGTGAACCAACAGCAATTCAAACAATGGACAAAAGAGATAGTATCCCAGGTGGCAGCCAGTTGTACTGGAAAATCCACTCTCTGCGGGGATAGACCTTATGGATTCTGGAGAGAGTCAATTATTGCTTACTGATATTTCTTTTAAAAGAAATACTGACACCGAGATACTGCCAGAAAAAAATAGAGACCTTAAATGTCAAGTTAATCAAAACTAAACCTCAAAAAAAGCTTGCAGTATTTACTGATCGTAAAAAATTAAATTGGAGAATTTATTCATACTCTTTTAGTGGACCTCACCACAAGACAACACCACTGATCGTGACAAAGCTACCGACGATGTCACTTCCGCTTAGACAAAAAAAATCATGCGGTAGAGGATCAGTAGGGTTCATGGGTCTTAGTTACCTCGAAGAAAAAACAAAGAAATAACCTCACATTGCCAAATAAAACTTATAAGCAAACTAAAGATATCTACTTGGGTGAACAGGTTTCAACATCTAACCGATTCCAAGAACTTGATAATGATCAACATACTCTGGATACTGATTCTGCTTAATTAGAGAAATAAACCAAATGTTTAATTTTCGACATACAAAAATTAAAAAATTTTTGAAAATAGGGGTGAAGGTGGGGGCATATAATAAATAAATAATTTAAAAAATTTTTTTTTAATTAAGTTATAAAACCTTTCTTGAAATCATTCAATTTTCATTTTGGACAATTTTTTCTATCTCTTATAGTTTCGAAGATATTCACTTCGAAAGAAAAAAACCGATTTTTTTCAAGAAAGGTTTCCACCCCTTTGAGGAATGACTCAACCGAAATAAAAAATACGTATTTCTCATTTTTGTCCATAGAACAACATATTAAAAACTCATTTAAATCGGAAGGCGACCGTTGTTTGTGTTTCCTTGTGAGAACTTTTATTATGTAGTCATGAGGAACGGTTTCGTTTAGGAATTTGAGTGATTGTGTATGTATTGCTGACGTTGTCAACAAAATGTGTGCGTGTATTTTTGTGTGTGTGTGTGTGTGTGTGTGTGTGTGTGTGATTTTCAATCTATATTATTTTTACCTTTAAATAAAGAACACGTTTACCAATAATACTTAATGAAATTCAAATACCTCAAGATGACCACGTAAATTACTTAGGACTCCATCTGGATCGACATTTAAACTGCATATATTCGCCAAGCGTAAACTGCCTTAAATCATACATAAAAAATGAAAAAAAGAATTATAAAAATGCATAATAATCGCAACAGAATATTTATGTCCAAAATTTTCCGGTACACCGCGTAAACATGCGATCCGATTTGCAAAATCGAAATGTTTATTTATATATAAAATAATTTTATAAAAGCTGTAAATAAGAGACATGACAGCGAACCGTACCGCATGGGTAGCTCTAAATAATCCACACTCTTGATTAAATTCAATAAAACAAAATATTATAATTTATTATAAAAACTATGGAGAAATAAAAAAAGCGATTGAAAATACAAGCAGAATTATATTAAAAACCAATTGAATTAAAAAATGTAGAGAAAAAAAAACAAGAAATGATCTTGAAAAAGACAAGCTTATATATATCCTCTCAATCGAAACACTTTATTTATCCTATGGCAGCAAACAAATCTACTATGTTAATATTGTTAATAGCAACAATAATAATCACAATAATAATATATGTATTTAGAAGAAAGAAGCAAAACAAATTCAAGAAACGTGTACAATAGATGCAGATGTACAAAATAAATTTCATATTCCTAGACTTATTTAAAGCGAACTCGGAGTACAGGTTTCTAAGAAAATCAAAACAAAAATTGATAAAGCGCTCATTAAACTCCTTTATCTTATAAACACTGCCTTCAGGTTGAGATACATCTTAAGACAGTGGAAAGTAACGAAAGTAATAAACGAAGTAATAACGATCTCTAAACCAAGGAATGACTTACACGACAAGAACTCTTACCGGCGGACTTATTGCCGATATCTGACGATATGGATCATATCTAGATCGATCATATCTGGATCTATGTTTGACGTGTGGAATGATTCATCAGCCTGATTGAAGAGAATGTAGGCAAGGAAACTATTCTAAAAATGACACATGCAATTGGTTGTGTGAAATTTGGGAAATGAGGCGACATGTCAGCGGACCGCTTTAACATTGGATTAACTCCATACCAACGACCGCGAAATCGGACATTGTCATTGCGAGTGTCGAGAACGTAGCTCGAGCCATGAATATAAACCGTTAATACCAACCAAGAACTTACAGTCTTCAAGCATGGCTGTATCAGCGCCTATTAATGTTCCTAATTCTGCAGTAATGAATACACTGTTACCAAGTTCATTAATAATTTTCAAATTGTAAAACACAAAAATTTTAATCTATCTTCATTTAATGCAACATTAAATAGGTTCCTATTCACAATGCATTCAATCGAAATTGAAATTGAAACTTTCTATAAAGTTCATTATTTATAGAGGCCAGTTTCACCAACGTTAGTTCTTCTTCTTCTTTTTCTTCTTATCTCCCTGCTTGGTTTTCGGACCTAAAAAAAGGATCACAATATCATGCTTTGATTTTACATCGAAGATCCTGTGGTAGCCTCTGCGGGAGAATAGAGGCTTCACTTTTCTTACTTTTAATCTTCCAAATTGTAACTGAAGTCAGATTCCCTCATGAGACTCCAGCCTCGCCCAAGAATATGTATTATAATGATGTCTCTCAGGGTCGAAATTATTCCTTCGCGGAGCGAAGGGCTCTGAGTTCCAACTATAGTTGGCGCCACCAGCTAACCTGGGGTATACTTACGGTTAACGCGATGCTGCAAACGCTTTGAAGCGTTTTTTAATTGGTCAGTTTGTAAAATTCTTTCTTCTAATTATCCATCAAACGCTTCAAAGCATTTGTAGCGAGACTTTGATCACAGCCGAAATAAGGAGAAAATTACAAAAGTGACCAAGTTCACTAGAATTTTCATTATTTAATTGGCCAATACCTAGTAACCTTTGTTCACTTTTGTAATTTTCATCTCATTTCGAGATACACAATTGACCCCCAAGCGAAGCCAGGGACTCCAAGGTTCAATGAATAGATTTTCGCATTTCTCGCTCTGTCATGGACAGTCGTGAAGAACTGAATTTGATGATTAGCCATTAGTAGAGTCCTATATTTATCAGAAATGAGCAAATGAGATTCTCTTGCTGATTCTGGCTGAGCGATCACCAATCAAAATCGGGATTGTCGGGTCTACAGTTGATTGATTATCAATATAAAGGCCGGTATTCATAGTTTAGTCTTATTTCAAGACTGTCTTACGTAATGTTTTAAGACGCTAATGCAGCCTTCTGATTGGTTCGTGACTTCTTAAGACCATACTTAAGACGGTCTTGAATATAAGATCTGACTATGAATACCAGTCAAAGAGCCAGTTTCACCAATATAATGTAACCACAGTTCTTGAGTCACAAAATACTGATTTGAAAACATATAGGAACAAAGCTCTAACATTTTCAAATTTGTCCTTTATTTTCTTTAAAAAAATATGGTCACGGTAGGCATGATGCATATATTTATCCTTGTTGTTCACCAAATGTAAACAAGGAAAAATAAATAATGCATTATGCCATCATGCATGAAATGGAATGCACTTTAAGTTAAGTCAACAATGGTGAATAAAGTTTATTTTATTTAATTTTTAATTGGACTAAAGAATAAAAATGCATAAAATCCCCCAAAAACCCAATAAATCCAAGTTTCTTTTTTTTTTTAAAACCCATCTAGGTTTTTTAAATTCGGATTTTTTCAAACTCTGATTATAATATTATCGTATAAAATATAAATCTCTTTCTCTTCACCTAACATACATTTCTTAGATAGATTAGAAGATAAAGCCACAGTCAGCAAAACAAAGAAATAAATTCATTAAGAGTATAGAAGTCATTATTGAAAACTTACAGTTACACACATTTTGTACTCAGTACATGTCAATTAATGAATATTTTCATAACAGTATGTTTGATTATGTATTGTGTGCAATAAAGTAAGTATATTACATATTCTATATACTATCCCAAATTTTGCCATAGTTTCTTTGCAGCGGAAAACATGTATCCTAAACATTAAAAGATATTGATACAGAGATAATATTATAATATGTATAGAATTATTTTATACAGCCTAATCTAAATAGAGCCATATAGATCATGTGATCTTATATTTATTTTTTTCAAATAGACACTCGATGTTAAAATTATAAATTTAACTACTTTCGCGATACTGGATATTGTCTTGTAAAGGTTCCTGAGTAGTCATTACAGTCATATTGAATCGTGACGTCAGAAGCGAGGAATGACGCGTTAATTTTTATTACATTTATAAATAAAGACAATTTCGATAAAACAAAATGATGAGATTGTTTTAAAACATTTGTAAAAATGGAGGCACATTAAGTGCTTTTATTCAACGCACATGCGTAGTTTATTTTCACTTACACATGCCTTTTATCATTTTTTACAATTATTTACTAACTGTCAAAAGGGATAAGCATAGCTTTCGTCCATTTTTACAAATGTTTTAAAGCAATCTCATCATTTTGTTTTAAAAAACCAAATTGTCTTTATTTATAGCATGTAATAAAAATTTATCATTTCTCGCTTCTGCCGGTTCAATATAGCTGTGGTGACTACTTAGGAGCCTTAACAATGCTCCAAGTATTGAAGCGTTGATTAAAACGATTCGTTTTGCTTTCAAACATCTTTTTAACATGTATATTTCTTAATAATGAATATATCAGTTTAGAAATATTAATTTCTTACCTTAAAAATCCAAAACATGCACATTTATTTATATGTAATTGATCATGAATATTTCTAAACTGACATATTCATTATTAAGAAATATACACGTTAAAAAAGTGTTCGAAAGCGAAACGAATCGTTTTAATCAACACTTCATTACTTACGCGTATTGGTACAAATCAACTTCGACAGTACAAATC